TTTATAGGCTTTATAAAATGTATAACGTATAGATCTTAAATAGATTCAAAGCCTATTTAAACCCTACAATATAGTCTTTTAATCACCTACCTATTAAATAGGCATTTAAAAAGATTTTAAGCCAGACCAAACATATTATAGGCTTAGGCTTGGGCATAAAAACAAACATACTTATAGACTCATACCTTAAGCTCTCATAACATGCCCAAGCCTTTTTCAAAGTTTGGCCCGACTTAGGCTATTTCCATCTCTAGCGGAGAAGGAGCAAATTATTGTGTGGACCATGATCCACATAGTTGTAAGGATCATGAATACAAAGTACATTTTTAATATACTAAAAGTACATTATTTTTGTACTATATGTACATTATTTAATAGTATATAAAATAATATATTTTTAGTATTCAAATAATGTACTTTCAATAATGTACTTTATATATACAAATAATATATTTTTAGTATATTAAAAATGTACTTTTTATTTATGGTCCACATATTTGTATGGAAGATGGTCAATGTCATATGCTAAGGGGGAGACAACCACGAGCAAAAGTTTGATGAATGCCGTTTAAAAAAAAAATTATTATAATTTTAAAAGATAAAACAATATTTAAAAATTAATTAGAAAAATGAACGTAAATTTAAAAATTTTCAAAAAGATGACTCTCTATCGGGTAAATTATTGTGTGGACTATGGTCCCTACAATTGTGTAAACCATAAATATTAGGTACATTTTTAATATATTAAAAGTACATTATTTTTGTACTGAAGGTACATTATATAAAATAATGTACCTTTAATATATTAAAAATGAACTTTCAAAAAATGTACCTTGTATACATAAATAATATATCCTTAGTATATTAAAAATGTACTTTTTATTTATGGTTCACACAATTGTGTGGACCATGGTACATGCAATAATAATTGGTGGATAGCTTGAAGCCCACCAACGTGATCCGGTTATTAGCCAACAGCCAACTTCATTTTTAATCAACTATATGTTTATTTTTGTTGTAAACTATATTTAATGTTAGGGAAAATTATAATTTATGCCCTCACAAATATGTCAATTATTAATGTCACCCCTAAATTATTAGTGTTGTAAATGTTGTCTTTCAATTTTCAAAATGTGACATATATTGCCCCTCCCCTAATAGGAAAAAGGAGAAACATTGTTGTCGGTGGAATGAGAACAAACAAAGAAAGAAAAATGGAGGAAAAAAACGTGGTCTTCGAACAGGAAAAACGAAAGGTAACCATATTTACACCACTAATAATTCAGGGAAGGGACAATATATGTCACGTTTTAAAAATTGAGGGGCAACATTTACACCACTAATAATTCAGTAGTGACATTGATAATTGGCATATTTGTGAGGGGCATAAATTACAATTTTCCCTTAATGTTACGGCTATTATCCACTTATTTTCTAGCGTAGATGCAATTACTGAGTTGCATGTATATATACTCATTCAGTTATTAAGAAAACGTGGTTCCAACATTTCTTCTTCTTCTCCTTCTCTTCCTCTATCCTTTACTCTGTATTGTTTTGAGTATATGATTGTACGATTACACAAAATTGATACAAGGGTATTCCAAAATTACAATAATATTAGTTAGTATACTAAAAATAAACTGCATTACATTAAATTAAAATGAATGTTACACGCATTAAAGAGTGAAAATTGAGTGAGATGGAGATCTCGGAAACTTCTTTCTCTCAGCGATCGTCTGAGGATCTAGATCTTTTGGTGAGGAGCACGAAGAAGGCAAAACGGAGCGAGCCATTGCGACAGGTGCAGGTGGAAGAAGGAGATACGGTAGATCACGGGATGGTTGACGTATATGTTGTGCATGAAACGCCTGCAGATATGATGGTGACGTCGGACCATGCGCCCACACCGGAGCCATGCAGAGGAGAGGAACCTGTGCCGCTATCGAGGAATCCAGTTGCGCCCGTCCAGTCGTAGGCGCCAAGGCGGACGTATGCGGAGAGCGTGATTGGTCGCAATCTGGCGGACCAAGAGCCATGCAACGACCAGGTGATCTCAGACTCTAGCAGTGATGAATCGGAACCGGAGGAGGACGATGATCCTCTGTGCCCCACGATCCAGTTGCCTAAAAAGGAGATCGCGGCGATCCGTGCCCCGTGGAAGAAGACGTCGATCCAGTTGCCTAAAAAGGAGATCGCGGCGATCCGTGCCCCGTGGAAGAAGACGTTGATAATCAAAGTGATGGGACGCAAGGTGGGGTACGTATACCTCAAACGTAAACTGACTTTGATGTGGAAACCACATGGACACATGGATTTGATCGCTATCGCAAATGATTAATTTTTGGTGCGGTTCAGTTCGACCGATGACTTGGAATTCGCAATGTACGAAGGGCCTTGGATGATCTTGGATCATTATCTGATTGTGAAGCCTTGGGAGCCGGATTTCGATCCATACAACGACACCACGGAGAAGGTATTGGTTTGGGTATGCGTTCCGGATTTACCTGCTGAATATTTTGATTGTATTTTTCTCAGGAAGCTAGGGAACCGCATAGGCAAGATAATCCGGGTTGATCAGGCCACTAGCTTGATATCTCGCGGCATGTTCGCCCGAATCTGTGTTGAGCTGGACATGCGGAAGCCTTTGGTGTCGAAATTTACCTACGGAGGAAAGATCAGGCACATGGCGTATGAAGGCGTGCATTTGGTGTGTTTCTCATGTGGTTTGTACGGCCATATGAAGGAGGCGTGCCCCGCACTGCGGAAACCTATGCTTGAGTCGGGAGACGCCACGGCAGCCGCGGGAGCAACCGTGAACGCAGGAGGCCGACATCCAATTGCGGACCAGAACCCCAATGCGACGGCGGAAATGCTGGATCCTAAGATCCCCTTTGGAACGTGGATGCTTGCACCAACGCGAATGGGGCGTGGGTGGGCGAAGTCTCAGGCCCGTCCGTAACGACATATAGCCGGCCAAGGAGCAGCAGCTGGAGACAGGGAGGAGACTTTGCGCCACTTCTGGAGGATGAAGTCGCGAATGAGGCTCCCATGCAGGCAGCAGAAGATCAGGACCAGGGAGCATAAACTAATGCTGAGGAGGCGTCTGGACGTCAAGAAAGGCAGACACAAACGCAGGTAGGGGGAGGTGATAGGCCACGGCGGCCTAATGTGGTGGTCAGCGAAGCTCAAATTGAAAATGAAGCCAGGATGGTACAGGGAACCTCATCGGCCACGAACGCAAATACCAGTAGATTACGGAGGGCAGGTGGGGATCACCCCAAAAGAGCAGCAGAGGAACACGAAGATGTGATTGTGAGAGGCAAGCAAGGCGGTTTATCCATAGTTTCAACGAGAGTAAGTGCAGGTGTTTTGGCAGCGGACATCCCATCTCCAGTCTGGCAAAGCACTAAAGAGCACCACTCTGATCCTCCTCGACGGTTTGACGCGGAAGGCGATGTCGTAATGTCGATAAATGGGGCGACGGAGATTGGCGTTGATCGGGCGGCGTTAAGCGCTCCATGAGTTTTCTGTATTTTTTGTGTTTCTTTTTGTGGTCTTTTTCGGACCCATGTGTTTACATTTGAATTTTGTTTTCTATGGACTGCATGTTTTGGAATTGTCAAGGCGCAGGTGGTAGGCCATTCCTGCATGCCCTAAAATACCTTCTCCAGACATATAAGCCTAGAGTACTGGGACTTTTCGAACCAAATATCTCGGGGACCCACGCTAACTCAGTTTGCATGAAATTGGGTTTCTCGGATTGGATCAGGGTGGAAGCTGTTGGCTTCAGTGGAGGCATCTGGGTCTTCTGGAAGGACCCGGTGCAGTTGACGGTTATATCTACTCATCCTCATTTTATTCTTTTGTAGGTAGAGGCGGCTGGGCAGGAACCGTGGTACATAGCGCCAGTGTATGGCAGCCCGGCTGACTACCTTCGCAAACGGCTTTGGAGGGACCTGACTCAGCTGAATTGTGGAATAGACGGACCCTGGCTCATCGCCGGGGACTTTAATTCCACGACATGCAGGGAGGAAACTTTGAACTACAATATCTATTCAGCACACAGATGTGCGAATTTTGTAAACTGGATCCAAGATGAAGGAATTATAGACTTGGGTTTTTCGGGCCCACAGCTGACTTGGATGAAGGACGACCAAAATAGGGACAGCAAGGGCGGGCGTTTGGACCGAGCTCTTTGCAACTCTAGTTGGCGTACTAGATTTCCAGAAGCACGAGTGACACATTTAGCCCGGATAGCATCTGATCATGCTCCTATTTTTCTGCAGGTCCAAGGAGAACGGCGAAGCCGTCCTGCGGCGCCGTATACTTTTCAGGCGGCCTGGCCACTAGACCCGATATTCACGATGTGGTCCAAAAGGGATATTCTTGAAATTTCTTGTCACAATCTTGTTTCCTTGTTACTTTCGTTTTAACTCGTTGTACCCAAGTTTCGGGGACGAAACTTCTTTGAAGGGGGAGAGGATGTGTGTAACACCCCGTGTTACGACCTTCAATCCCGGATTAATTATTTAATTAATCCCGTTAATAATAATTAAATATGATTTAATTCGGTTAGGTTTACCTTTAATTAATTAGTAAGGTCCACCATGAACCGTGGACCCTTGCCTAAATTAGAGTCTTAAGCCTATTAGGAATAAAGAAAGTAAACCTTTTACTATTCAGATTCTGATTAGGAATCCAAGACCCAGTTATCTATTAGGAAAAAAGGAAGTAGGCCTTTTACTATTCAGATTATGATTAGGATTCTCTTTAAATTAATTAATATGGTCCACTTTGGACCATGGACCCTTATCCCTAAAACAAGTCCTTAGTCCTAAAAGGAATAGAATTAGCAAGCCTATAATATTAGTTCCTAATTAGGACTCCTAGATATATAAATAGGGGACTTAAGAGGCACCTAGAACCCCCCCACCACAATAATCACTCACCACACAAGAAGTTCCAAGAATTCCCCTAGGAGAAATTAAGAAAGAAGAAAGCTTAAAGAAAGACCCTTCACAGCCAAGGAATTAATTAAGGCTAAGAGGTAACCCATGTCTCAACAAAACCTATTTTTATAGCTATGATTCCCCTCTTAGGATTTCCCCATATTATTGTGTATTGATGATTTGTGATATTATTATTGGTGGGATGATTCCATGGGTGATCTTGATGATGAGAGGTTCTTGATAATTATGGTGTTCTTGATGATTATATGACGTTCTTGATGATCATATGGTGTTCTTGATGTTCTTAATGATTATATGAGGTTCTTGATATTTATATGATATTCCTACCAATCTTGATTTTCGAAGATGAATTGTGTTCTTGTTGATTTAAAAATAATTAGAACCCTAGGTTATATCGTGGAATTCGTATGGTATTATTCTTGGTATATTGGGTGGGAATTCGCATGATTGGGTGTTGATTATATTTAGAAAAGCATGATAGGTTATGTGCCATATGTTTCTTGATTTTGATCCGTTAATTGTCTACGTGTGTTATTAATTGCGTTTGAAAGTGTCTAAGCATGGTTCCGGGTTCCACAAAGGTTCCCGGGGCGTTTTTGGTGAAAAAGAGTCAGTGGGGGGTAGGGGACCCGCCACCTACCCACGGCCAAAAGAGGCCTCGCCGGCAGCGGGCAGCCGGCGGGCAGGCAGCTGCCCGCCGGGCACCCGCTGCACGGAACAGTGCCGCCGCCGGGCAGCCGGCGGGTGACCCCTCACCCACCGGCTACCCGCTGGTTTGTACCACACCTTGGGATTTTGGCTTCCCCGTTTGATGTTCCCCCGACCCCCGTGGTGTCCCAACGGACTCCGTCTATCGTGCCTATGTCTAGTTTGACATTTCGGGTACCGTTCGTAAGTTGTATGAGTCTTATATATTGCATGCTAGCTGAATTGGTATCCCGTTGACCTGGGTGAAAGAAGTATGAACCCCTTAGGATCATTCTTAGTATGTGAAGGATCACGCATATGTTTTGTTATACGTTTTCTCCCCCTTCCCAATGTGTTAATGTGGGTTGCATGTGCTTGCTATGTGTTATGTGTGCATGATACCCCAATTCGGTTGCGATCGGATTGGTTATTCCTGAGCTGCGGTTCAGAAGCTGGCTGCGGTCAGATTTACACTCTTGGGCTGCGGTCCACCGTTTGGTTGCGATCAAACGTTTCTACATGAGCTGCGGTTCATATTTCCTAGCTGCGGTCAGATGATATACTCTTGCGCTGCGGTCCACTGTTCGGTTGCGATCAAACTATGATGAGCTGCGGTTCATCGGTCGGTTGCAATCGACCCCTCCGTGTTGCGATACGGGGCAGGGTGCTGCGGGGCCGTGTCAGAGCTATATGCGATGACCCTCATGTATGGGCATGCGATTGGTCCTGTGGCGCCAACAAAGTGTGCTATGTGATGAGATATGGATGAGTTGTTGTTATGAGTGTCTTGGGGATGCGACTATGGGATTTATACTGGGAATTGTATATGTTGGGTTATGATTATTAATTGTGCTTATCTCTACCTGTCTTGCCTGTTGTAAACTGTATATGCTCGGTATAACTGTTGTCTGTGCTTAGCTCTATCTGTCGAGTCTATCCCCATTTTAAAAGCTAGAGTCTCGTAAGATATATCTTCATGCTTCAAAATGGTTTTCGTATATCTATATATATGTCTATATGTATTGTATCTCAACGCGTTAGAGGGGGTTACCAGCATCTCTCGCTGAACAGATATATTTGGCTTTCAGGCACAGACGAGTAGATCACTGGAGCGCGCTAGAAGCTTGGGGCGTAGCTTAGATAGTTTTCCTTTTCGGCCTGCGTGCCATGATTTAGTATTGATACTGATTGAGGTTTTAGAATTTAGCCTTTGCACCTGAGTTCTCTAGCTCGGGTGTGGCATAGCACCCCGTACTCTTATATCGTATTTTGGGATTTAATGAGATTCTATCTTTATTATATAAGTTTTAAAAGTCTTGAAAATCTGGGGTGTTACAGTTGGTATCAGAGCCTAAGTTTGACCCTAGGATAAGACTCTTAAGACCAGACTTTAGGACATTAGGCTTGAACTCTAGGTATTTATGAACATAGGACTCAGGAATCTTAGGACGCGCGGTGAGATTGTGAAACCTACACATAACCTCCCCTCACTTTATCCCTCTCTAAACTTAAAAGAACGCCCTACGCTTACCACACCAAGGTATGGGTGTAGCACACTGACTCATCATTACAATAAATATTGGCCCTGGAAACTAGCAGCATAGCGCCAACAAGAAGACAATCAAGGACCCCACACTCCTCGAAGAATGAATCCGAACCTTTAACAAAATCCTCGGGTTAGTGGAATGCCCAGAGGAACGCCGCGTAGAGATAGCCTCATTCTACTTCAAGACACGAGGCTGATCTTTGATAAATCCGCGAATAACCCACTTATGAGCAACAACCGGGGGTCCAACTAGGAGTGCCTAGGGGCACGGTTACGAGGACGATTCCACCCCGCATCCGTAAGGGCAACCATGTACAAGGGAATTCTCCACCCAAAACAAGGGATGGCCACCATCAGGGAATACCACAAACAATTCCTCCAGCTGGCTCGTTTCGCACCTGAATTAGATCCTACAGAGATAACCAAGATAAAGAAGTCTGTGACAGACCACAAACTACGAAACCCAGAAGGCCCCAATTGTAAGCAAACCCCGAACACCCAACGAAGCCTACACCAGTGATGCCAACTTCTACAAACGAGGAATTCAGGAACAGGCCCGAAAGAAGAAGTAACAGAAATGGGAGACCGCTCCCTCCAGCATGAGCGAACCCTTTCGGAACTGGTTGAGAATGGGCGCAACTATCCCAGCCCGGAGACTGGGAACGCCAATTAAATGCAAGAAAGTAACGTAGTACGTAAACAACACCTTTTCTTAATCGTTAGCACGAATTGTCAAAAAGGGCTCGATGTGACAAAAAGAGGCAACAGGCGCATGGAAAGTGTCATACAACTAGAGCCTCCCGGCAATAAGGGTCTTACCTTGGAACAAGGACCTTGACGGTTTTAAGGCACCGTAAGAAGTACATGTAACACACAAAATCGCCAAAACACCATGCGACGTCAAGGGCAGCCAATCAAATGCATTCCAAGGAAGAGAAATGCATGACCAAGCACTTAGTCCCCAAAGGATTGAACAAAGAACGAGCGACAAGCCGAACCCCAAGAAAAAAAACCAAGAAGGCTTATCATTAATCAAGCAAGGAAAAGACAAAGTCGGCTTATAACCAACTACCCAGTGAAGATGACGAGGTTGCTAAATTGGAAACCAGACCCAACCTACTGAGCGGAAAGAACATACGAGAGTCTTGACACATCTAGAACTCGTGCTTAAAGATCAATAGCATTGTACGATGGGTCGTCCTATGTATTCGAACCCCTTTGTTGTGCACATGGGCATGGGGCTTGTCGGGACTTGAATCTGTGCATTCTTGGGATTTTTCCCGAAGGAATTCACTCTTCCTAGTCACCTTCCCGCGGGTCCCCAACGGGACCTTGATGAGACCCTAACGGGTCCTTGACGGGACCTTGGCGGGACCTTGACGGGTCCCTGAAAGGAGCTTGGTAGGCGGACGACCGCCCACCTCGCGCCCACTGGTACAATGTGCTGATTTCTTAACTCCTCGTTTTATTGATTCGTGGCGCGCTTGTGTGCCTCGGTTGATAAACGCGAGTCTTGGGTAAAGAACCATGGGTTGCCCAAACATGGTGTCCTCGGTAAAAGACCTTGACACGCGAAACACCGTAAGAAAAGCACAACCAATTGCATTACATGTGGAGTTGAAGTTGGACTCTACAATGCAACCGACTAGGGATGATTGGCGTGAAGGATTGTGCAAACCAAGGAGGCGAGTTGGGAACTCGTTCTAGGGACTCACAAAGGCCTTAAAAGCCAAAATGCTAAGGATGGATCGGGACCCCTTCAAACCATGGATATCATTCAAGCAAATCAGAGGGCTCCTTACAAGTTGTATGAAATCAAGAATGACGTAGTCCGTGGTGCTGGGCAAAAAGTAAAAGAGCAAATTTGTGCCAAGGCCTCAAGGGTTATTAAGGACCCACAAGGAAATGAGATGACTCGTAAAGTCACCGAGTCATTCCGCAACGAGATTAGGAAACCAACTGCGCTTCAAGAAGAAAAAGAGCATGCAAGGGCACCTTCATCATTAAAAGTAACACAAAAGGGCACAACAAGCCGAACCTCGGGGAAGACATGAAGTCTTACTAAGAATTTCATTCACTAAAGAGGAGATGAAATTCAATAAGAAGAGAAAGTCAACCCAAAGTTTATCGACTCCCAAGAGACTTTGGGAAGAATTTGGGAAGTGTGCCCTAAGAGATTGGCTTGGTTGACCAAACCTGGTCAAGACCTTGGACGCATTAAAGAAGTAAGTGTTAAATCATCACGGGAGATGCCCTCAAGATAAGAGAGAAGGATGAAACTTTAGCCTGGGAAGCAAGGTCTAACAAGGATCTTAAAGTCAAGCAAGTGCCAACATCAAGGAAGAAGGATCATCAGTTCGTCAATACGACGTGATCAAAGCATCAAACCAGAATAGTCACTTATGATCGAGAACCCTTAACCCATCCTAGCCGAATACCTTTCCCTCCCTCGGAAAATCGGCCCCCTCCTTATTTCAAAACCCTTTCTATCCTTCAAACCACATTCTTGATTTCCTATTTTAACGATTCCATACAAGGTGGCAACCTCACACCCTAAGTTGCAACCTTGAAAACTTTGATTCTAATTCCTAAATTCACTTTGTCCTCAGGTTTGAAACCCACTCCCTTAGCCCTTTAAACCTAATCGCTCCCAAAAACCCAGCACACATAGACATACAATTATACAGTTTCCCCATAGAATACTTTCTCTATAGGACCACCGTACTGCTTTTGACTCGTTACCCAGCAATGATTTCTAAGCTTCGGGGACGAAGCATCTCGTAAGGGGGGGGAGAGTGTAACACCCC